TAGATTCTCCTGGCTGGTCTAACACTCCACACCAGGATAAGAAACACCAGCAGATGTGGTCTCACTTTCGGGTTTTCATCCTCTGTGCTGTATATACTCCAGCAGGAACCTTGTAAGTGTAGCCACTGTATGATCAGCTCATGTTTTATTACAGTGAAAGATACAAGCAAATATCTACATCTTTTACTGAAAATACACACACAGGAGTCCCCTTGTCTTCTAACGGCCCAAGTCTGTCATCATTTAAGTAACGACAGATGCACATGTCTCTGCCAGAATGAGGCACAGTCTGGAGCTATCCATTCTGTCTGAGGCTAGTTTTTATGTTGCCAAAACATAACTGTGTCTCCTGCAAACTTGAGGTCCTCTAGACGAAAGCAGACAACATTGGTGTGCAGTTATTTTAACCATTAGAGTTCAGACACCTTTAGACAGTATGGCAACAACCTCTTCCCAAACCTGCTCATGCTACAAGCCAGCAGCTCGGGGAAAGATACGTCACGTGGCGTTGCAAACTACACTCCTAGCAGCCTAGGCATAGTGGGTATTTGGCAGAAATAAACCAGCCTCAGTTGTACTTCAGGATTTTTTTAGCTCCAAAGCAGAAAGGGCACATTGTACCAGCAGTTGGTGTCACCAACAGCATTCGTGAGGCAAGCCTTTAAGCTGCTCTTGAGGATCTTGCTGTTACCAGATGTGGCCTAGAAGGACCTTATCTACTTGAAATCCAGCTGGTTCGGAAACAAAAATGTCAACTTTACCAACAGAATACTCTGTGCAGGGATGTAAGACTTTTCCCCACCTTTTCTTTTCATTGAGGAAAGTTAAATTCCCTGTAACAAAATGAAATGCCCCACTATGTGGAAGGCTCTCTTCCATTACTGCAAGGACTCTGTCTCACAGGCTGTCTGTCGACACTGGCCCACTGTGTTGGCAGCAAAGCTAATGTGTTGAAATTGCAATTTAGCAGCCACTAAAAATAGGTAGCCCTGACCTTTGTGCTCTAACTCAAAATTCAGTCATAGTTTGGATTTACACCATTTTTAGCTTATTGAAACGAGTAATCAAAAAAGCAGGGGGGAGGGCGGAGGAGGGGAGCATACCCTGTAATTTGAAACAGTGACTTTTTCACAGAAATTATTTACACACCAGCATTGTGGTGTGTATCTTCAAGCTGGATGATCTGTGTACATAATTAGCATCTTTTATGAAGAAAAGCTTCACAAGGAAGTGTCAAAACACCAGTTTTGTATTAGCAGTGCACAGACAAATAATCCTAGCTATGTGTTACAACTATGTAGAAATTATGCTCACTTCTGTACAGATAGGGTGAAACATGGGAGCTGCTTAATGAAAAGATTAAAATAAATACATTCAGTGAAAAATCTCACTACCATAGAACAAATCCCTTCTGCAGCCACAAAACCAATGATTCCTTCATTTTTCAGCCACTAACCTACCACAAGACTTCTGCTGCACAGAGAGGGGGATACCTGCCCACATTGCATTTCCCACTTGCTTTTCAGTTTTGCCTATAAAACATACTGTAATCTTGTAGCATTCAATGCTTCACGTAACTATAGCAACATCACATGATGAATGAAATAGGTTTGAGTTAAAAGATGCTTCTGCTAGTCCAGCAGTATGGGAAACTGGCAGGATTGTTACTGGCAGTACGGGAGCTGGCTGTGACATGGCAAACTAGTTGTTTCAGAGAACTGTCATAATTTCAGACTCCTTCTTGGAGGTTCTTACTCTTCGGTGTTGGGTTTAAGACAGTCACTGGAGACCGTGCTTCTGACATCAGCTTTTCATAACTTTGTTCCAGAAGTCCCTAAATGAAATGCAGAACTACTTTATCTTAGTGAAATGAAAAAGTTTGACTTCTTAGCCTATTTCTAAGTGATTCTTAGTTGATTAGCTGAGATCATCTGTCTGCTAGTTTTAAGACATTTCTAATGTTCTCGTAGTGTAGTGTATGTCAGTCTTTAGTGTTAGGAAAGTTTTGTCACTGGGATGAATGAAGACAAAATAAGAGCAGGGAGGCCTATTGAAATTGCCTTGCTTAAAAATGGAAGGTAACTTTACTGGGTAAGTATGGTTTCATTCCTACAAGCATATGTTTTTTCTTTCACAAGGGAAGGAATAAAGGTAGATACTTTTCTTTTCTTAAAGAAATGTTGATTGGCATTAACACAGGTGTACTGAGAACTCTCAGAGAAGCTTATTCAATGAATGCTGTAAAATACTATGCAAGGTTGATTAGCCCTGAAGACTAGTATCACTTGTAACAATCACTTGTAATTATTAAAAACTGTATTGGAGGCTCTACGTTTCTGGGAAATTAATACTATAAAATATTTTTATCATTAGAATTGATAACCAAAAAAAGGCTTGAATTAATTTGTTTGTAGATTTTCTCACTGATGCCCCCTCATGACAAGTTCTGTTTGCACAAGGCTCTGTGCCACACCCCTGTGGCATAGGACTGATTTCAGACAGAAGTGGTTCAAATATCTTCACAGAGCATCCAGGGACTAGCACTTTCAGCTATGTTCCCATCATAAGAAAGTGGATTTCCCATTCACAATCGCAATGATATTGAAGGATTTTAATCCAAATACCTGTACTCTTATGTATGGGTTTGGTACAGAGCAAAATGCAAACTCTTGAGGAAGTTTGCCCCAACTCTCATTTTAAAAAACCCTGAAACCAAACTGCACTTGCTTTCCAAAAGGCTTTCCTCTTTCGTATCCAGATAGCCAGCCCTAGTGCAAAGCGTATGCCAGCTTACTACTGGGAACCTGGGCTTAATGCAGTAAATGTCCATTATACCTGAAGTGATATGCATTAGACATAGGAAAGACAGCTGCCTGGGGTAAGCATCCTTCCACTGGCATCAGCATTAACAGTGTAGTACTCAGAATTAGCTTAAATAGGCAACTCATTTGGTTTCAACTGTAGCATTAATTACATAAGATACATTATCTCTGGAAAATTGTTTACTGATTTTCACTACACACTTCACTTATTAAGAATGTCAGCATAGTTACTCTCTTGTGCTTGTAACATTATCAGTCCTGTGTATGCAAGGTCCAGCCTTTCAGACCTCTTCCTACTGAGCAAAGCCCTAAAACCCTGAGTTAAGCTTGTTTCCCTGTTCTTGTCTAGTGCTAAAAAAAACCCAGGAATCATCTAATACAGCTTCTACAGAGCTGCTGCAGCTAGCTGGCAAAAAGATTCATCTAAAAAGGGTGTTAGTCAACTTGTCCATTCATTGAATCATGCATCCTACTCTAGCTTGCAGGAAAAGTATGTAGTTAGAACAGTTTTCTATTACAGGGGCAGAAGCTGTCTCTTGGAATTGATACTCCAGCTTCTTTCTAGACCTAGCCCTCACTTTCCCCATGCTGACCTCCTCTGCCAACACACACACACAGACTCATTCTCTCTTCCTCCCTCCGGTCCCCATCAGAATGCGGGTTTGATATGCTCATTTCCTGTAATGACTGTTCTAAAGCTTTCTTTACAAAGAAAGCAATGAATAGAGATAACCGCATGTAACACTAGATGGTCTTGATTTTGCCAGTAGCAGCCCGACAGAAAATGACTTAAGGATTAAAATACTTTGGCTCAGTAGTTTGTGAATGGCCATGTTGAAGAATGTAACCCCTCTTAACTTCTTTACACCATGGTACAGTATAATTCACTTGGCCTAAGAGGAGGATAATGACAGCTTTACACAGGATCTCACATCACACGTCCAAGTTTTCTTCTTATCTCAAAGGTTGCACCGTGCATTAAAGCAATAGTCTGTATTAATCTAACCTCTGACATTTGGGCCATATTAACCCACCAATGCAGGTTTATGTATCTCACACCTCAGACCCTATCAAGAAATTTGGCAGTGGCAGCTTGATAAGGACACCATACCTTACTGAACTTGTTCTAAAAACAACATCAGCGTAACACTCCTCTGGTTGCACTTTTTAATGACCTTGCTCATTTGTGCTCACTCTTCTTTAGCTGTTGCCCATATGCATAGTCCATGCTTCTGCGGCATCACAAATGCTGTAAGGAAGGAGGACTGAAAAATTCAATTTTTCTGCAAAAGTATTAGCACCCAGGGGGAAGAAATCTGTGGGATGTCTATAAACTGGAGACTGGTGCTGTTCATTTTCAGATGGCAAAATAATTGTTAAAAACCAGATTATGTCTTTAATGACACTGATCACATTTTTTTCACTTCTGTACTTGACTAATTAACAAACTTTATTACCAGCTACTTTACAGTGAAAATTCTACCAGAGGAATGTTTCTGGTATTGCAAAAGTTTAAGCAACCACTACAGTACATTTAGAATCTCTTGTTGTTCATGTGGTACAGGTAGTGAAATAAGACTCCTCAGACTGTGCATTATCCCAGCTTCCCAAGTTAATTAATTACTTAAACTTAGTTTGTTTAAGGAAAGCTGGGACCATTCCAAGGACTTCTGCAAGTGCATCACCTTAATTCTACGACAGAGTGGTTCAAGCAGGCAGCATTTACTGCTGTAATGTTTATATGCCTTTCCAAAAAGCAATAACTAAAACTATACTTTTAGAATATATTAAAAGCCTGCAGATGGGGTTTCTGTCTTCTAATTGCACCCTTACTTAGATAAATTCTCATTCATTATGTTGAAAACTTGTTTATTACCATATGTTGATTAAACAATGATAGAGACTATTGTAATTAAAGTACAGACAAAAGTCAACTGTTTTATTAAACACATAATTCTAAAAACCTTTAGAAAGGATAGATAACGAATGAACTGAGAGCACTTAACTGCACAACTTCAGAAACAAATGATAGCTCTGCTTCAAAACTGCACAACAGGTTCTTGAGAGATTCCTTTTCACACTTGCCCAGTGATATTTTTAGGAACTACAGCTTACAAAGCAGCCAGTGCTTTATTGCAGTCACTTTTCAAGGCAGCTCCAGCCAGCTTTACATTCTTTTTATCTCCTTTCTTTTTTTTCTCTCATTATCTTCTTGCTTTCTTCTCTTCTCCTCTTAGTTACAGGATTCCGTGGATCATAGATCTCAAAAGTGTCTTCATCCTGCATGCTTGCATCTTTCACCTTTCTGCTTCTATCTTCAAACTGAAGTACATGTGACATCCTATGAAAATAAAACATAGTTCAAACTCAGTGAAAGAACGGAAGTTATGATTTGTAATTACGATACGCATGGCAAGATTTTAGGATGGTGAGTTATGTTTGTGCACAGCAAAAAAGATACAAGTTTTGCTGGGTTTTTTTGTTGTTTTTGCTTGTTTGCTTTTTTCTTTCTTAGTAGACCCTAATATCATAGGGTCACAACACTTTTGTGAAGACCATTTTGAAAAATATAGCTAAAGTTTGCTCTGCTGGATTTTATTTCATGTACTGAAATCTCTTGTCTTTTTTCTATTTAACATATCTTCCCAAATGTACTGAATAATTTTCCCAGGAACAGGGAGTATTTCTCAAGTTTTCCTATTAGTCACTTTGGGCTTACTTTCACCATTAGGGTTTTACAGAAAGGGCAAAGAACTTACAAGGACAATGCCTTAAGTAGGCACGCAGCAGATGAAAAAAAGGGAATGCTTCACATCCTGCACCTCCACCTTAACTTTGTTCAGATCAGGCTTTTTAATTCTTTGAATACCAGACTAAACTAATGCTTTGTTGAATCCAATGTTTTTTCTACTGTTCATTAGAAATTTTCCCCCCATTTCAGCAAATTCCCAGTAATCTGAAAACATCGGCCCATGTGAACCTCATGAGGTTGAACAAGGCCAAGTGCAAGGTCGTGCACCTATGTTGGTGCAACCCCTGGCATCAATACAGGCTGGGGGATGACGGGATTGAGAGCAGCCCTGCTGAGAAGGACTTGGCTGTACTGGTGGATGAAAAGCTGGACACGAGCCAACAATGTATATTCACAGCCCAGAAGGCCAACTCTATCCTGCGCTGCATCAAACGCAGCGTGGCAAGCAGCTCTGCTCTACTCTGGTGAGACCCCACCTGGAGTCCTGCGTCCAGCTCTGGAGCCCTCGGCACAGGAAAGACATGGACCTGTTGGAGCGGGTCCAGAAGAGGGCCACAAAAGTGATCTAAGGGCTGGAGCACCTCTCCTGTGAGGAAAGGCTGAGAGAGTTGGGGCTGTTCAGTCTGGAGAACAGAAGGCTCTGGGGAGGCCTGACTGCGGCCTTTCAGTGCCTGAAGGGGGCTTATGAGGAAGACAGGGACAGACTTTTCAGCAGAGCCTGTTGCAACAGGACAAAGGGCAATGGTTTTAAACTGAGAGGGCGGATTCAGACTAGATACAAGGAAGAATTTTTTTACACTGAGGGTGGTGAAACACTGGAATAGGTTTCCCAGAGAGGTGGTAGATGCCCCATCTCTGGAAACATTCAAGGTCAGGTTGGACGAGGCTCTGAGCAACTTGATCTAGTGAAAGACGTCCATATACATTGCAGGGGGGACTGGACTAGATGCCCTTCCTAACCCAAATAATTCTATGATTCTATGATAACCAGGAGTCAAAAGTAGTTTGTTAGCTGTAGTCAGTGGCAGGAAATTCTGGAGCTTATCAACTATGGTTTTATTAGCATGTGTCACTGAAGTGAGAATTAATACAGAAACTGTCAGAAAACTATGAATTTTAGCTTGGACGCACAAAATCTGAAGCAAAAAGATAAATTACTTACTGTAATTAAAGAAAAAGAGAAGTGAGAGGGAAGGAGAAGAAAACCAAACCAAAGATACTTACAAGTTGACTGAGTGTAAAGCTATTGATCTTTACTGACAAGTTAGCAAGACTTTTGAATATATAACCATAGCAAAGCTGCTACTTATGAACCAGGAGACAAGTGTAAAGTTCACATGTTCAATTAAAAAAAACCCCAAAATGTAATGAACAGATTTTTCAGTGCAAAGAAACAGGCCTAGGGAAAAAACCCACTTATGTTTGGATTCTGTATTAATCAGTTGCAAAAATGTCTTTGACTTTGAGGGACAACTTAAAAAGAACTATACTGAACTGAATCTAAGCAAATCATTCTTTGTAGCATTGGATGCCTTTGTCTGCAGTCTTTGTGACAGAAAATGCAGGAAGAACAAGTCAGTATCAGAATGAAAGATTTGCGGCCAATGAAATACTGCTTTATCAGTCTCTTGCAACATGTAAAAGGTCCTGAATTAAACAGGTTTTTCAAAGAGCTCTAGTGCAAATCTCCACACACAAAGAAAGGGAGGGAGGGAGAACCAGATCAGCTACTATAGGTTACAATATAATGCCATTAAAGAAACCAGACAAAATTCAAAGCTATATACAATATGGGATCTGTTTGAATGCTTCAGAAAAATCATTGAGACTTTTCATTACAATGGATTCTTAACATGTGAATTTCATAAATGACTTATTGTACAGCATTGTCAGCATGCTTGCATACTACCCTCCCCCATGGAAATACTTCAGAGTTGTTTCCAGTGCATAAAACCTCAGCAGTTTATAACCCTGTACACACTACTAACACCAAAACTTATTTTTTTTTAGTCATATCTACAGAACAACATGATGTACCATCAGAGTGACTCATGATTGCATATTTGTAGTTTAATTATAAAAACATTGTGTCACGGTGGAGGACTGAAGTAACTTATTTTAGTTAACATGCTTTCCGCATTTGTCATATTCTTCTCAACTTATTAAAGATGAGCATTTGAATATTTTTTTTAAGAACACATACCAGATCACACTATCCTAGTCCAAATTAAAATATAGGCCTAAAGAGATGGAGTCATCCCTTGGTGAGTGGTTTTAGAGTGTGTTATATGAACATATGTAGAAGCGTAGTCACACTTAGCTATTTCATCAACTCCAGTGTTCAAAGAATGCCACAGCACACTTGAAGAATACAATTATTAGGAATTAAAAATAAATACATCTGTAATTCTCAAGTCAGGCCATACTGCGTCCCAGGTAGTCTGCAAATTCAACACAGTAGATTCAGACTAAGAAATGTTTACTTCTCTCCGAGAGCTGAAAGAAGTCATAGTCTCTGACTCCTATTCATAACTTTCCACTGACGTGTTCCCAGCTGTCATTAAAAATAAGTCAATATTAAGAAACTTTTTGATATTCCCAGAATCAATTTCAGATGCAGCATCTCATAGGTAAAGCAAAATAAATACAGACTGTAGTGGAGGTGTTAGAAAATATTTTCCTGATGTAAACTTAAGCTTATTTTTTGCAAGTCCCACATCTTCACAGGTAGACCTGCATCTTATTTTTTCGGTTTGCATCTATGTTAATGGTAAATCACACTTAATACTATTTTCCAAAACCAATTCAAATTGTTTTATAAGGAACATGGGAAGTATTTAATAATTATTTCTATATTAATGGTTTGAATTTACAGTAATCTTACTCAAGCTCCTCCTTTTATTGAAGTTTGCACTTGCATAATTTTCCAAGTGTGGAGTTAGGGCTGCACTTCCACAAATACAGGCTGCATGAGACTTTTCTTTGTTCGGTTTACAGCTCTCTGCTCTTCCGCACAGTCCTGGGTTCAGTGGGGAGCTGGCTGCCCAGTCATGCTCCTGCAGTCACTGTGCTGAAAACTCTGACTGCTTCGCTTCGTCTTTGGTCTTCAGGAACCTACTAACTTGTGCTTATCACTGCTTGTTGACAGTTCATTTTAAATGAGTGAGACACACAACTTCAAAACACACTTTTTCTGCAAAATTTAAAGGATGAAAGGTTGTCAGTTCTCCTATGCAAAACTCAAAAGAAAAAAAAAGTTTTGCAGCTTAGTTTTTTCCGAACAAAACTAGTTTTAATAAAATAACTTGCCAAATATGATGATTCTGGGTTTAAAGTATCTAGGTGTTCAAACTGTTGACTTTCTTTAGAAGAAGAAGTAACCACAAAATTATTTTCTTAACCTCTTTTATTAAGATAGTGCTGCAAATCAGAACCAGCTATCTTAGCACGGATTTATTGCTGAAGAGGGCTGATTTTTACCCAGCCAGCTTACTCATACAGTTTACCCGTTCTCCCATCCCATGTTAGGGCGGAGCAGCTGTTCTGCTGCACTGCACTTCTTTCCTTCAGTGTTGCTGAAGGACGTTCAGTACTTGGCTATCTTCTGTACTCCAAAAATGAAATGTCTAGAAACATTAGACTGAGATACCTGAATTCATTTAAGCTGGTTTCAGAGATGGCACAGGATTTCAAAAGTTCATGGATACTCTCCTGGCCTTGTGATATTCTCAGATACCAATTTTTGCAACAGTCAGCAAACAAGACTGCTTCTTCACAGTTACTAGCAGGATAGCTCCTATATGTCCTTAAGCTGTGGTAACTAATACATTGCCTTGGTGATCAGTTTACTTTCTAGGAGGTAACAAGTAGGAGAATGTTGGCTGTGACTGAAGCTAAAAAAGAAACTCCAGCACACCAGAAAGCATTCAAGAACTATTACAGTACCATTAAGCTTTGTGTCCAATAGTCTAGCATAGGCAACACCATACTTGCCAGCTGCACATCAAAGAACAAACCCACCTACACAGTGCTCTCCAGGCAGACTCAACCAGTTTATTCAGGAGACAGATCATGTTCTTCTGTATTACTCTAGTGAGACCGTACTTGTAAGAAAAGGTATGACATAGAGTAACCCCTCTGATTTTGAGATGTGAGCCGTGCACTGGATCTGAACCATGTGCCAGCTGCTGACAGGTGGCAGTCAGGTAGCGTAAACAGAAGTTTGCTATCACAACAGTTCTGTCCTTTCCAAAACCGCCCTTTGGGAGAAACCGAAGTGGCAGTCAGTGAACTGAATCATTCTGAATCTCAGCAAGAGCAAGGAAGCACTGTGCTTTTGCACTAGTGATGAAGCTCAGCTCTCCAGGCACAAGTGCACTGCATGCATCAGTGATTTTTATACTAATTGAATGAAAGTGCTCAGCTGCATTGCTTAAGTCCACACTTCCTTATTAAACTGACACAGCTGTTGGCAGCTCACCTGCTGCCCATTCAACCTTCCTTGCACAAGTGACTCTACACAGCACACCCTTTGAGGCCTCTGCCACTTCAGTGGAGAGCCTGGGATGTTATCCTGCACTCACCTATGC